AACATCGATTGTTAGTTCTTAAAACAATATTTAACAGTACACGGCAATGTGCAATGATAAATACCCGGTCGTTTGAAGATGATTTTCAAAAGTTTCTAATACATTTTTCTGCAAATTGATGGACGATCTGTATTTTTTTACACTTAAACTGCTTTAGTGTGTATAATTGTGTGTGTACTTTAATTGGAAATTTAAAAGAAGGCGAAACTCGAACATGCATTTAGTACATGAGCACCCTTTACCTAGTATTTGCAGTATCTGCAGCTCTCCCTTGATAATTTGTTGATTCATTGTTATCAGCGTTATAAAATAAACTGCACCAAACACAATAATATCACACTCAATATGTGTATTTGAAAAGTTTATCAGATCTACAGATGCACCCGCCCTAAGAGAAAAATGTCGAATTCAAAGTGCATATGTGCGTCCCAAGCCTCAGGCGCGAAGAGGCCGGAGTGAGAGCCGCCGTTCCGGCTCGTCGTGACCGAGAAAAATCGGTTCACCCTCCCATAAAAAGTTATCACTTCCTTAGGCCTTAAATTTATTCCATGTGCACACACACTTCCTCTCTGTAACTGAATGAAATCTAATAGAAAATGGGGCCAAAACACGTGAAGTTTTTATCTTACATGGGTCTCCGTCAAAGTGTAAACTTTTTCAATATCGTTTATTTCATTACGTTTCGGCGAGACAACAGCGTCATCATCAGATTTAAAATGTACACAAACTCATATTTGGTAAACATTAACGCTCTTTTAGGTCTTTGCCTTCTTAAAACCCTAAATTTGCCTCAAGAGACTCTCTCAAGACAAATTTAAGGTTTCAAGAAGGCAAAGACCTAAAAGAACGTTAATGTTTACTAATTATGAATTTGTGTAAACTTTAAATCTGATGATGGCGCTGTTGTCTCGCCGAAACGTAATAAAATAAACGATATTCAAAATTTTTACATCACACTTTGACTGGGACCCAGGAAAAATAAGAATATAATAACAATAACACGCAGTCAGGAAAATAAATCAGAATAATGCAATGCAGCAACAATGCTTTAATTTTTGTAACTTAAAATTTATTGCGAATTTTGCGTCCGGATAAATCTTCTCTTCAACTTTCACTACTTTGTATATGCGGCAATTTTACCTTCTTGCCAGCCATTAAATGTGAAGTATTTCTTGTTGGAATCGTTAAACTTTACTAAACTAATTTCCATTTTGCCCACAAATTATTAAGGGTATTTTCTTAGTTGGACAAAGAAGTTATTGAAACACCAAATGGACGCGATCTGGGTAAAGTTACCGGAGGCAAATTAACACATACAATATTTACCAAAAACAATATTTATTTATTTAATATAACTCCATTTGAAAAGCGACATTATGTAAAATAGACGTAACTACAAAATACAAATAAATGACGTCTTATTTCGAATATAAATATGACTTCGTCACCTTAGCTCGCTAAGCAAAGCGAAAGCCGAATAAACCATTGCAACAAGAAAAATAATATAAAAACTAAGAAGATTGTAACACAAAATACACATTTGATAATAATACAATATTTAGATGATGATCCATTCACAAATAAGGCCTTGCCAGTCCATATTGGTTCCATGTATCACACTCTGTTTGCTTTCTTCACCGCCTTATTTGTAAACAGATTTTTTCGGTTACTTTTCGTTCATTTCTATAACATTACGGGTTAGGGTTTGAACGATATACAATCTGGGCAGATGCCTAACATGAATTACATTACAGTTTTAATGAATTTAATAAATACACTGGCATAACTTTAGCTGAAGAAGATTCTTATCCCAGTCAAGACTGAATACTCATCCAAAATATAGAGAAATGCGTTTTAGTCTCGTCATAGTCCCTTTCCTCGTTCACAACGATTAAGCTGCAATTTTTTCAATATCGGGGAGCATTTCTCTATATCGGAAGGCTGTTCCGAGTTGTTTCAAATCACATGTTCATAGCTATACATTTAAAACTCTTAAGGTATAAATGTGCAATCTACAAGAAAAAATATATTGTCTTACTCTAGTTAATGCTAATACAAAGAAGAGCGAAGAGTAGTCTGACTGTTCGGGATCCAATCAGTTCAAGCGTAGGATTAGTGATGAAAGTAGCACAGTAAAAACCTGAAAAGTGACTGAAATTTCAAATTATCCATAAAACAACAGCTCCAAAAAATTTGAAACTTGCACAGAAAATTTGGTTGTACCTTAGTTTCCATTTAAAATATCTTATGTTTTCTTAAGTGTAAAAAAGCTGCGCCGTTTCTGATCTTCTTTTTGTCCGGAAGCTGGCAGAGTTTGAGAGCGCGAAGGACCAGACGCAGTGGTGTCAGCATGAGCGTTGATGTGCGAAATCCAGGTGTTCATTTCAGCGTCGTTCTGAGCTTGCAACAGGAAATCTCCACCATTCTCCAATCTGAAAGAAGCGCACGTTCACATTCGCCATTTGGTGCTAGAGTTGTAACTGGACTCACTTCAATCGGAACACATGTTTCTTCTTTTTGTAGTCTGTAGCGACGGAAGCAGTGGCGCCATGAAGCTGCAGCGGCGCTTCGCCCTTAAATCGCTGATCGGGCGTCGATTTCGCTGTTTTAGGGTCCTTGTAAAACGCCAAGTGGCTGCCGCGTAAAACGACAAACACCTTAAAACCACAGAGTCAAACGTTAGTGGCAGCGCCGCTGCTTTGATGAGTGAAGGAAAAATACCTTATCCCAAGAACGGTTCGAGGCTTTAACAGTTGTGTTCTCCCATTCGTGCTTCCTCACCAAGTTGCCTTCGAAGCCTTCTTCATCTGGACTAGAGCCTTCTAGATGGGAGTAAATCAAAATAAACCCCAATATTTCACGTTTTTTCAGCGCTCAAAACCCGAATACTTTCTTGCCCAGACGAGACACACATCGACACTTTTCCCCCTTCTGATAATAAACTTTAACCAAACATCGACAAACACTTACATTTTCTTGAACAAGAACAAACCCATCTATAAGTTAGAGCAAAAACGAAAAATACCTTGCCGAGAGGCTAAAACGCCTTCGTCGTCGCTGTGGGCCCCCGAGTGCGTTTTGGGGCTGCTCTTCTTCCACCTGAAGCTGCGGAAAGGCGACTTGCTTCGGGATCTGTCCTTGCGCTTCGCCTTTTCCTCCGGACGAAGCACTTTGACAAAACAGGCAAACAAACGGGTAAAGCATAAAAACAACGGGAACAAAGCAACAAATAAAGCGCATTTGGAAAACAAGTTTAATAAATACCTAGTGCTTAGTCTGTTTAGAGGAATCCAGTCTGCCTAACTAATCAACTTACGTGTTTGGGATCTGGGAGTGGGCTTGGGAGGTGAAGGCGTGCTTCCTACTGTTTGCGGTCGTGGCTGTACTCCATGCACTACAGAATAACATGCTCATGCATTAGTAAAACAATCATTCTTTGGGAAAATTTGTTTAGATTCCTGCAGCCTAATTTTAAGCAAATTTACAAAAACGCTGCTGTAAAAACTTCGAAAACATCCTTAGAAACACTTTAGCTTAATGCATTCGTAAGCCGGTCAAAGTCATGCGATTAGAAGCCATCGAGAGAACCAAAGCGAATACTTACCAAGAATTTCATTGATATTTAGCCAATAAAGTTCAATAACATCTTTGAGGAAAAACTCAAATTTCATTACATTACTGCGGAATTCTCGAAGTAATAGTCAGATTATAAATAATATTCCAGTCACTAAAGGCAAAAAACTTCAGTTCCGCAATCAAACCTATCAAAAGTTGCCTACCATTAATGGCTGCGGATTAAACACCCAAAACCTAAGCTAGAAAGTTAGATAAGTGTGTGATAAGTGCTATTTACAAAGGTGCCGATAAAGTTAAAGTTTGTTATCAGAAGAAAGAAGTGGATGTTAGAAACAGGCCTGGACGTTGACTTGAAATTGTCTTGGTCTCAAAGTATTTGGTCATGTTATTGGTTTACCTTCACCGGAAGAAACAGCCTTAATAGAAGACCGCTGCACCCCAGAAGCTGCTTGCAAAAATGTACAGAATTTTTCGTTAACTCCTCATTGATTCGCTCCTAAAATTTTATGAGTTCTTCGAAGTCTTACCTGGTCTTTCCTCAATGGCAGCGCCGCCAGCATCCGGCCTATCAGCAGAAGCAGGTTCTGGTTCTTTTGGTCTTGAAGCTGCTTCAAGGGCAGCCTTCCGTTCGGCCTCCTCTCGCTCTAAACGAGCTCTTTCTTCGGCTTCCGCTTCTTCGCGTCGTTTCATTTCTCGAATTTCGAACTAATCAATAGAAAATACGTCGAATTAGCTTGTAGCCTTTCCGAGTTTCACTCAACATACAAATCGATTATGGAAAAGGATTTCTAGCACAGAAACCAGGTGTACTTACCGTCAAACCACCATATTGTTTATTAACATTCCCACTTACCAGCCCCAGCAAATCAAAATTCGCCAATAGTTTACTTTTGGAAATAACCGTTTCACTGCCAAACTGCTCAGCTAAGAGGAACGCCTGGCAAATGTGCTTGATATCGTCAGAAAATAAAACACTGTTTTTGCCATGGAGGAAGGTTTTCTGCGAAAACACCACCGGGTTAGGGTGATATTTTTCGCAGCCCAAAAGCGTGAATTTCCTCCTCCATTGCTTTTTCGGGCTGTAAAACTGATCGCAATTGAGTACAATGGTTTCAACAATCCTCCGATTCACTTGTTTGGAATAGCTGCGCATTTTGATGGGCTGGGGTTTCGGGGAACTGGGAATATTAACTGAAAAGTCGCAAGACGAAAGAAAGACAGAATGATCGTGCAAAATGGAATGGATTGAATGCCCAACACCACCAGCCTCTAGCTAAAATCATGCAAAAGAACCATTTTACTAGTACAACTACCAAGCGAAAACACAAAAATAACAAGCACAATTGAGGACGCATTACCGTTGTGAGCCGTTCGAGGGCACTAAACCGCTCCTCTTGAGCGGCTGCGGATTTTTCGAAGGCCTCGTGTTTTTTGATCAAATTTTCAACATCATCAATGGTGTGGCCGAGCTCGGTACTCATCAGGTACGGTTCTTGCGCGATCAGCCATGCTTCAGCTACAGCAGCGTCGCGAGCAAACTGGTACACTTCCAGGATAAGTTGCAGGTTCTCCCATCTGGAACATTCACATTGATCACAACTGACCCCAAATGCTCAAATATTTAAAAGAACATACCTTTCTTCCCACCGTTGCACAACTCCCTGCCTGTGATTGTTCAAAGCGACCAGTTTGTCGGTTATTTCGGCGCTGGCGTAGTGATTCCTGCTCAACAGCTCCTTGCCCAGCGATATGCAGGAGGTGAAATTGTCCTCTCTAGCGTCGATTTCCGCTTTGAGGCTCTGATGATTGCTCATCAACAGTTCAACGCCGCCGACGTCGCGCGGCTTTTCGCTGGTGTTCATTTGGCGCACCACGTCGTCCATCCATTGCATCAGCGTTCTCACCAGGTTGAAGAACTTGAACAGATCGCCAGTATCGGCCAGTTTTCCTCTGCGCTGCTCGCAAACCATTTGCAAACTGGCCCACGCAGACACCACTTCTTGTTCTCTGCAAAAACAACCAGACTCAAATGGGAACTGAGTGAAATGGCGAAAAAACCCACACACCTATTTGTGATCTCTTTAGCTCGGTCGCCCGCATAGCTGGCTTGAAGCTTGGCCGATTCTTCTTGGATCTGTTGCACTTGGCTCTGAAGCGTCTGCAGGTCTTGCATGAAGTTCTGATGTTTGCGCTGCAGCGTTGAAACAGAACCAGCATCTCGGCCCAGTTCGTCCGACATGGCAACCTGCTTCT